AGAGAGAGAGGTGAAGATGGGAAGAAAACGGAGTTCTTGCAAAATGATGTTGAAGCCTATGAACTTTATCTTTCTATCCCAGAAGTTTATACATCTCATCAATGAGACAAAAATGAGCTCATCGAAAATAAGTACTTGCTTAATCAAGTGTGGACAAGTTCTTGTGACTGAGAGGAAGGAGCTAATAAGCAGCAGTGCTGAATTATGTTTATCTCAACCAACTATACTAAACATGTCCATACTCGAGGAACTTTGACACCATAAGCTCACAGCATTCAAACTTAAAAAATGAATGCTAAAATGCAAGATACGCCTCGAAGATGATAGAATATCAACAGCTGCATGATTTTCGGACAAGTTTCAAGATCAGTATTATAGGAGATGTAAACGAGGATATCCAGAACCATGTTTTCAAGTTTCATAGGAACCCACAACTATTTCATTCACCAATGATTATACATGTGAACAAAATCTGCTATGCTTCAACATACTCTCGTAGGAAATAAAGTAAACCCACGTAAATCATGGGAAAAATGTGATTTTCATAAGCAAAAGTACCTAAATAAGCTAAGACCACTCACTCTCTCCTTCATGATAGGCCACAGTATGCAGTTATAGTAGACAGATTGGCAAGGTTTAATGAATAGAACAGAAATGCAACTTAGACATAATAAAACTTCATTGATGAAATTGTTTTAACGTATATGGAATGAGAAATATTCAAAGCCTAATATAACACGACTTTCACATTCCGACAGTCCGGACTAAGTAAATCAATGACTGCAATAGAAAATGTCAATTATCCGAAGGAATAATTTCGAAAAAAGACAGTGAAAAGCAAAAATGAAGAAAGCTCAGTGGATAACAGTTCGTATCATCCAGGGGTGTAAATGCACTTTGTGGAATTCTTTCTGAGCCTGGAAAGTCCGCCTACTAAAGAGAGTTCAACAAAGCTGAACTGACGGAAATCAACCACGATCTTCATTAAAAATATGGTTTAATTGCATTTCCAGCACCAATCCTAACAAAATTAAGCTTTAATCGAAGGTATCAAAAGTACTTCTCTTTTATCTACCATAATTCTGTATCCAACTCATTTTTTTCATTATTATGGTACAGAACTCCATTTTCCATCACCATATTCTGAGTCCACTTTACACCTGCAACTCACAGAAAATCTCATGGGTAAGTTTGATATATTATTGGCAACCCCTGGCATACGGAAATCATCAATTAACTTAGAAAACAGTTGAGACGCCTTTATTTCTTGTGTTAAAGCCTAAAGGATGATGACTGTTACCATCCACCGATCTTGACCTACTAAACAGAATGTACCTACTTGTGAAAATAAAACCAAACTAATACAAAACTAGTACCCTCTCAAACTCCTAATCTTGTACTTCCCTTCACATGTGTAAAGTGATTATTTTCGGGAAGATTAATAGATTATTATCCTTCAGATATTGATATCCAAGTTTTAGAAAGGAGGAAGAGCACATTAAGTCAAACCGTGCTTTTAAATTTTCTGAACAAGAATGCTACCTGGATCTCTCCATAAATGATGCTGCTGAGTAAAGAAAACAGGTGCATTTTGACGTGATGTCAAGCACATTCAAACTTCACAATCCAAAGATAGCTTCATTCATCATTTCATTCAATCTTTATCAGCATGCAGCAATGATATGAGTCAAGGGATGACAAGACGAAAAAATTGTAGTAGAAGGCAGCAATTCAACATGCCTCACATTCAACTACTGAATTTATCTCCAAAAGCATTTCGTTGCAGAGAAGCAGTTTCCCAAAAAAAAAAAGAAGGGGTCGAACATTGGAGAATAGAGTTCTCAGGCCCTTACATCATTTAGATGTACAAAACTGCACAGCAAGCACAACAGCAATTGGGAACACAAAAGAACAAAATAAGAGATACGAGTCTCTGCACAGACACTAGTATTAAGTTGTCTTGTTGGGACAGATTGTTAAAAGTAGTCCATAGTGATCACTAGGTAAAACAGGAAGCACCATATTCTGAACCTGTTTTTTCACTTTCTTTTCCTTGCTGTACGATAGACCGGGAATCGCATCCATCCCAATCATTTCAATTTCATTTATCTTGAAGTCTCTCAACTTGCATACAAATTGATCCAGCCGTTTCTGCAGAGTCCGGTTACCACTCAACATCTTGTTTGATTTGGTGTCATATGTCCATCCAACTTCTCTGGGTCTTAGCTCTGTCCAAGCATCAATCCATCCATCAGATAAAGGAAATTGACCGTCCAACTTGTCATCCCAGTTCATATCACCACAAAAAATGACATTGTGATTTTTCTCAAGAAACTTTACAGCCTCCTTCGCTTGATCTACACGTTCCTTGCTGAACATCTGATCCCAAGTTGGCGGGCCTGGACAGGGACTTTCCAGATGGCTTGTGGCAACAACCAATTCAATACCAGTCCGCGCTTCAACTTCAGCAATACAAAGTTCTCTTCCCATTATAGAGTTGTCAAAAGGTTTGCAGCTGTAGCATTTTATTGGAAGATTACTTAACTGCAAAATTATATAATAGCAGATAATGAGTTAGATTTGTGAATAAAAAAGAATTTTATAAAATATTAAATGTGATTGTCTTTTATTCCAATATATGCTCAAAAAATGAGATTGATCCAATGGCTTTATAGCTGCTAACTAGCAAGTACAGAAATATCAAAGTTTGTATCAGATATTAAGGTTGAGCACACTTATAGAGCAAGAACCAAATATATATACACTCACTCACACACACTAAAGAATTGGCTATTGATGGTGTCTGAGGAAACAAATATTTTTAGCCATAATACATTTAAGTGGAACCAAACCAGCTGTAAGAGTTAGATGTAGGTTCCACAATGCAACACAGCATCCTAACTCATAAAAGATTTTGGAATAAAATTTACCTGCATGCAGAAATATGGCCCTGCAAATGCCACTTCACTTGACACTGAACAGCGGTAGTCCTTCCACCAACTTGATTGCCGGAAAATTTTGTAAATATTTGGAGTAACCTCCTGCAGAGTTAATCAAATTTAGTTGAACGCCCGAATACCAAACTAAGAGTTTTCAGCTATATGGAGTTCAGGAGAAAAAAAAGTGTAAATGAAAAAACCTGAAAACATATAACATCAGGCAAATGCAGTTGAATAAGATCTCCAAGAGATTTCATCCTCTTTTGCACCTCAAGATCTTCTCGAAACCAAACATTGTAACTCAAAATCTTCGTTGTTTTAGGCTTAGTGCCTAGATGAGAATCACTTACAGCTGCACCTAGTGAGTGGTTTGTGACAACAAGATTTAATATTTTAGTACAACACAAAAAAAAAATGTAAGGGAAAAAGATAGATGGAAATTAGCAACAATTTGATTGACAAACAAACTAAACTCATCCACAAAGAGTTACAACACTTTGTATTAATAAGAAACCTACATTCACCTTTTAGCTTAACTGAGAATTAAGGATAATTCTTGTTCTTGAAATCTTCTATTAAACATGCAGATTAATTAAGGATGACTTCTATCAGAAGCAAATGTGACCGTGTACCTTCTAACAGAAACAGCTTACCACAAGTTTGCTTATGTAGCACAAATTCACTGAGCCGTCCCCGTAATGGAATTCGTAGGCAATATATTTCAGCACCAGGAAAGGCATAGTTTAGTGCAACATTTAATGTTTAGAATTGTAATATAGTGTTCCATTTATGCCACTGTCAAAATTCAACCTGGAAATAAATTTTCCAAGGATGAATCTCACACATTTTAAACTACAAAATTAAAATATCAAGTGTTCCGTGATTCATACCGATGTAGTACATAATCATGATTAA